TAACATAAACACTAGAAAGTAAGACGAATTACGAAATATTACGTAAATAAACACAAATATTGAAAAAGATAGAATAATAAAAAATTAAAATATAAAATATATTATATAGAGCTGCTGCCCAGACTACATCGTCCCTGTCTCAGCTGTACCGACAAGATCGAAAAAAATACAGAGCATTCCATTTGGGGACGGCTTAGCTGCAAGCGTTGCCAGAAAATAGCCAGTGTTGGCAGCCAACTGCTTTCGTATTTGTATATGACCACAAGGCAGCAGAAGTTTAAAATTAGGGTTTTTCTTCCCCTAGATAGACTACCTTCCTGGACTGTCGATCTCCATCTACCCGAAGCAGTTGGTTATGTCGCCAGTTTTCCGCCTTTGCTCATTCTCTAACTTCGCGCTGGTCTTAATTGTCAGAGGCTATATTTAAATGCATGCCACATAAGCATTTTATAGTCACTGAGAGCTTGTCCCAACTATCACTATGACAACCTTTGGAACATATATAATGTATGTATATAAACACTAGCAGCATGACCCGGCGTTGCCCGTGCTTGATTCAAAAATCGTACGACTCATACAGCAATTGCTGTCATTTGACTTAAAATATTTTTGCCCTTCCTTGCCTTTAAAGGAGTGCCCTTTGATGTGCTGATGTTGCTACATGCCTTACTTCACACTGCGAATTTTTTCTAAGCTCTATACTAAACATTAAATCTGTTACGAAAAAAGAACTAAACAAAATGAACACAAAACGATCAGCTTTAAAAAAAGGACTCATAACTGGAAAAACCGAATGAAAAAAGAATGTTAACAACAAATACTTTTTCACACTCAACCCAGTTCTGCGGAATCAGAATCAACGTTGAGTTTAAGCAAGTGAATGAGCCAATTGGAGTAAAGTGCCATGCCGATTTAAATTTTTCCCACTTGTGATGCATGCAGCTATCGATTTTTTTGCATGCTAGTTAACATTTGTGTCAGCTGTTGGCTCTCACGCTGGCCAATAGAATCTTCCTGCCTATTCGTGGCAGCCAGCTATAGGCTCTCACTCTGGACAGTAGAAAATGGCCGCAAACTACATGAAAACTGCCGTAGAAGCATGAAAAAAATCAATTATTTCCACTATCGATGGGAGTTGGGAAATGCAAAATCGGTCTTGGCCTTCCCGCTAACTTGGAGCATGTGCATGTAAATTTTGGTGAAAATCCGTCGAAAATTACGGCCGTACATTCGTTACACACACACACACACATCCTGCCTTTTATAGATAGAGATTATATACATTATGTGTTTTAAAAGCCCCAAAATAATTAACTTTTTTTTCAAGCATTTAATAGTAAACCGATTGGTTAACATAAACACTAGAAGGTAAAACAAATTACGAAATAGTACATAAATAAACAAATACATATATCGAAAAAGATAGCAGAAAGAAAAAAAATCAAAATACTAATGGAAAGTTAAACCTTACATACTCGAAGATTATGAAGTGATTATTTATAACATACAGTAAAATAATTTATATTATCTTTTTGACAGTACCAATACCTAAATTATCAATTGATAAAAAATGAATGAGAGTAGAAAATTCAAAATCTATATATATATATATAACTTCAGATAAGCAAAACAGAAAAGTAAAACTAAGATAAATGATCTTCAGGTTAATTGCATTAAAGCAAATAAATACTAATACAGAAAAACTAGGCAGCCATGAAAAAAGTTGAAAGAAATAATAAGTAATTCATATATATATATTCAAATAAATATAACAATAATCATATTTACTCCGATCACGCCGTGGTATCTGTCAACATTTCCTTCAACTCCACACCCCGCAAACAACCTCCCATCACAAGAACCTCGTTCTACTATCAACGAGCGGATTGGGACTCGTTCCGTCACTTCCTCTGGGATGTTGTCTTTACACTCCCTGTCCAAGAATGTGCTTCTGAGGTCTCATCCTGGGTTAAAGCTGGAATCGACGCTTTCATCCCCTCAAGGAAATTTAAGGTCAAGTCGCACTCCCCCCCTTGGTTCTCCGCTGCTTGCTCAGCTGCCATTGCCAATAGGAATCACTTCTTTCACCTATTTCGTAGCGACATGTCGGACTGCAATAGACGTCTCTTTGCCTCCGCCCGTAACGAGTGTAAGCGTGTCCTCAACGAAGCTAAGTCAATATTTGCTGCTCGGATGAAGGAACGTATTGCATCTCGCAAATTTGGCTCCAAAGATTATTGGCGGGTCTGCAAGAGTGTCCTGAACAATAGAAAACCCTCCACACCTCCTTTATTCAACCAGTTCGAGGTCTTGACCTCCTCTACCGACAAGGCTGAATGCTTTGCTCGGAAATTCTCATTTAATTCAACGTTCGACTCCACCGGTGTACCCATACCAGACTTCCCTCCAAGAACTAAGGACTTATTGAGCGGCTTACACATAACTCAGTCATTGGTACTGGGCATTATCTCCAACTTAGACCCCCACAAGGCTAGTGGTGGAGATGGCATACCAGCCATTGTCTTGAAGAAATGCGCGCCTGAACTAGCGCCCGCCCTCTCTAAACTGTATAATTACTGCCTCAAGGAATCATGTTTTCCTGACTGCTGGAAGTCCTCATCCATTGTTCCTGTGTTTAGAACTCTGGAGACCCCTCTGACCCTCTAATTACCGTCCTATTAGTCTCCTACCCTCTTCGGCAAAGTCTTCGAAGCCCTAATCAATGCCGAAGTGGTTAATCACCTTACATCCCATAATCTGCTCTCAGACAAGCAATATGGTTTCCGCTACGCCCGATCTACAGCTGATGTGCTTACGGCCATCACTGAAACCGTCTACCAAGCCCTTCAAAATAACGGTGAGGCTCGTGCCGTGGCCCTCGACATCTCCAAAGCATTCGATAGGCTTTGGCACGCCGGCCTTCTTCGTAAGCTCCAGGGGAATGGTGTTACTGGTCGACTGTTTGATCTAATACAATCATTCCTGTCAAACCGAGAATTGAAGGTCGTTCTCAACGGATTCTCCTCCAGTTCCTATCCCACGAACGCAGGTGTTCCCCAAGGCTCCATCCTTGGCCCCCTCTTTTCTTATTTTCATCAATGACCTTCCTGACGCCATAGATTCCCAAGTTGGCATCTATGCAGACGACACTACAATTTACTCCAGCCTCAAAAACAAATCTAGTGTCGGCGACAAAACTAACCTGGCCGTGCGTCATGAAATGGACCTCCAATCGGTTGTTAACTGGGGCAAGAATTGGCTGGTCAACTTCAACGCCTCAAAAACTAAATTACTCTCCATTAACCACCATAGAGACCCTTTCCTGCTCCCCATTAAAATGTCTGATAGTCAACTTCCGGAGAGCAACTCCCTGTGTCTGCTCGGTCTCACGCTGACTGCTGACCTGAGATGGAACAAATACATTGAGTCAATTGCTTCTTCCACCGCGAGGAAAGTTGGCTCTCTGTGCCGTGCCAGGAAATTTTTCTCCCTTGAATCGATACTTCAAATATACAAAACAACCATTCGCCCTTGCATGGAGTATTGCTGTCATATATGGTCTGGAGCACCTTCTGCTTACCTCAGAGTTCTTGACAAGATCCAGAGACGAATATGTAATCTAATTGACCCCGATCTAGCGACTCGTCTGTAGTCACTCTCTCACAGACGCGCCGTCGCCTCTCTCTGTCTTTTCTACAAATACTTCCATGGTAATTGCTCTGATGAGCTGCTTTCACTGGTTCCCAGACTCCATGAATTCAAGCGCCCTATGAGGCTGGCATCCCGCTCCCACCCTTACACCGTAGAAAATTTCAAATGTAGCCGTCTCTTCTACTCCAAGAGCTTCATACCATGCACCTCTCGCCAGTGGAACACCCTCCCCAATTACTGTTTCCCTGAAAGCTATAATCTCCAACTATTCAAATGTAATGTCAATCGACACCTACAGTTACCTTGATCTACCCACTATCCTTCTCCTCATCCTTTCTTCTATCACTCCTATCTGCTCTTGCTCCAAATCTTCTGCAACCCCCTGCATCCTAGTGGCTTCACGCCTTGCTTTTGGGCGTAATGCTTAATATATATATATATATATATATATATATATATATATATATATATATATATATATAAATGAAAGAAAATATTAATGTCGAATTATATTAAATTATTTTATAACTTTTAAGTAATATTCAAGTATTTTTTCGTTAATCTAAAATCCGTTATTTTTGGGGGAGCATCGAAAGAACGCGTCATTTCTTCTTCAGTTCAGAACGCCATTTTTTTAGGCCTATGCGAGCTCAACAGTATGTTCCGTCACTGATGCCTTACTTACGTTTGTGACTTTGATGACTTTTAAGGCCAGTATGAGGTCCCATAACACTTAAGAAAATATATTAAATAACCCCAGTGAATTAAGCAAATAATATATAAATACGCCAAGCCAAAATATGGTTGATGTTATTGAATAGAAATACATAACCGCTACTAATATCCAATTAATCATTAAACAGGCCGCCGATGGCAGCGCCAGCGGTCCTCTGGTGATAACCACAAGCGGGCCACCAGTGGGGCTCTAGCGGACCACCAACGGTAACATTGTCGAGACGAATACGCTGGCGGCACGACGGCGAGTCACCAGACGTAAACGCATATCGGACAAGGAACAGCACCCCTTTTGAAGGCTACAGGAATGTTAGAGCCGTATTCAGCGTTCTGCGTCGTAATACATAGATGTTCGAACGTAACCTCTCAAAAGTTCTAAGGACTTTTATGCATATACACCTGCACTTGACACTTCTGGAAAGGACGACAGGGAGATGTCAATAGAACCTAATGTATATTTCGACCGAGATATTGAATAAAGTGGTTAACTACTATGCTATTAGATTAAGCAAGCAGTATTTAGGGCTTATCTTCTCACCCTCTCTCCGATTTGGGGAAAGGAGTGCTACACCTTAACATTCCTGTTTTGTCACTATTAGATGACATAATCACCACGTTGAAACATCTGTTCCTGTACGACCACCGAAGTTAAGCAACGTCGAGCCAGGTTAGTACCTAGATGGGTGCTCGCTTGGAAATACCATGTGCTGTAGGCTTGGATGTGCAGGTGGTGTAATGTATAATGGCTCGAAATTGTTAATTTAAGAGCCGAGTTCCAATTTTTCTTGAGTCCGTTTTATTCACTTACGTGTAAATACCCCTCGGAAAGATATAAATTCACCTGTTTTCTCCAACTATGGGTTAATTAGTAAGTCTTGTATCACTGAAACCATTATTACCTCTCCCTCCCGTAAAAAAAATTTACAATCTAAAAATATTTTCTGACTTTAAATAGCCTGCAAAGGGTTGATAACCCGTAAAAAACTCAAAAAACAATTATTCAGGATGTGTGAATGAGTGGCCATCACTTGATGGACGCCACTGTGTAAGGCGCTAGTTAGGGACCTGCATCAGTAGCCTTTAACTCTTTCCACCACATTTACCTTTTCACCAGTGGACTTTGAATAAGAGCGGATAGAATCCAGAATAGATTGGTGAACTAATTACACTAGGGATCGTCAAATGTTTTCAACCAGAGACCCCCTTTTGGTTCTTTTCCTTCCCCCAGCAACCCTCATTTAAAATATTTTTGAACCTTAGTACTAGCACCGATGTTGGCAACTAAAATGTTAACTAAAATGAATGAAAAGTTGCATCAGGTTAAAAATCCCCACTCCCAGTGCCATCAGGTTCAGAATCCCCACCCCCAGTAATATCAGGTTCAAAAATCCCCCAAAAGAAATATACTTAATGTTATGGTCCAGGTCCTTGTACCACGGTGATGGTCCAAGTTAGAACCAATAAAGAAGAACTCGAAGGCGGATATGGAATAACACAGATATATTACAAACAGGAATATATACAGAGAAGTGGAAAAGTGTTAGTACGAACAATCAGGTTTAGTAGGGAGAACAATGTAGTCTCGACTAGTATCACTATTCCAATGTCTTGTAGTAATTGTCTGAATGCGACTCTGTTTCGGACTGCCTCTGACTCGACTGACTGACTCGCTCTGACTGACTGACGGACTTCTGACGCACCTCACTCCAGAATTCAAACTGACCTCCCTGCTTCCTCTTGAAGCGCAGTATTTATTACGTATGGAATAGTCCATTATGTTATTATGGGTAAGGTCCCATAACACTTAAGAAAATATATTAAATAACCCCAGTGAATTAATCAAATAATATATTAAGTACGCCAAGCCAAAATATGGTTGATGTTATTGAATAGAAATACATAACCGCTACTAATATCCAATTAATCATTAAACAGGCAGCGCCAGCGGTCCTCTGGTGATAACCACAAGCGGGCCACCAGTGGGGCTCTAGCGGACCACCAACGGTAACATTGTCGAGACGAATACGCTGGCGGCACGACGGCGAGTCACCAGACGTAAACGCTAGTGACATGCCACCCAGTAGAAGATTGGTGCATATGGAGCAAGAGTGAGGATTGTCGGATGAGATCACTGTTAGATTGGCTGACCTTTCAGATCTTGCTCTTTCTCCTTGAAGACGATTCAGACAAGCTGATTGAAAACTGCTGAGACGACTAAAACACGTTGATCTCCATTCTACCCGCTCCAAGGCTAAACGCTCAAGGGTGTTATGTGGTATATTGACAGCTGACAAGTTGCTTTTCAGCTTGTCTTTGTATCTTAGCCATGGGCGTCCCACATTCCTGTAGCCCTGATCTAACTGGCTGTACATTAGGATCTTGGGTATCCTGTCATCAGACATTCTCAAGACATGACCAGTCCACCATAACTGAAACTGTATGATAATAGTCTCGGTTCCTCCAATATTACACCTGTTAAGCAGATCTACGTTAGATGTCCTATCTTGAAGCTTAACTCCACAGATTGCACGCAAACAGCTTTTATCGAAAACATCTAGCTGCCGTATATGGTACCTATGTGGAATCCACGACTCTGAGCCGTACAAAAGGATGACAAGGACAACAGCTCCGTAAACCCGAATTTTTGTATCCAGTCGAATACCCCACCCATTCCACAAGCGATGGCGAAGTTTGCCGAAAGCACTGGTAGCCTCAGCAATCCGATGCATGATTTCATTATCTAAAGTTCCACTGTAGTTGACTTTGCTACCAAGATAGGTGAAAGACTTTACATAGTTCAGGGCATTACCTTCTACTTTCAATGGTCTCTCTGGAAATGTGTAGACTGGTGTTTTTTTTTTTTTTTTTTTTTTTTTTTTTTTTTTTCTCAACACAGAAATGTTTCGGAGGAGGACATATTGTAGTCTATTCTAACGTTTATTTTGGCGGGATTTGTCTGTTAATTTGTTTATTATTATTTACTTTATTTACTTATTTGGGTTGATTGTTTTTTATGTTTTTTGTTTTTATATATTCTCTTTCGTCTATTCTAACTGGAGTGGTTTGTTAATTTGTTTATTATTTATTGGGGCTAATTTATTTTACTTGTTTTTTATATTATTTTGTTTATTCATTTCAGTTTCGATTTTTTAGTAACGTAGTAAAAATTTGTTTTCATGTCTGCATTTTGAGATGAGCTCAGATCGTTTATTTAGTAATTTCTTTTGGTCTGGGAAGGTAATAATAGCTATTTTTTCCTCGAAGCAAAGTTTGTAGGTTTTTGATTGATTGTTGTAGGTTGATGATCTTTTCTTTATTTTCCATGATATTTTTAGTATGATTTGTGTTTTGTTTTTAATTTCCTAGATGTACTTGGAAAGCATCGTGCTGTTCGCGTATTTACTATTGATGAAAGATGTTTTGTGTGCATAGTTTATTTGTTTCCAGGGTCATTCAGTTACTCCTATGTATACTTTTTCTTCATTGTCTGGTGATTTTACCGTGGTTTAGAACATTACGTTGTTTTGTAAGCAATTATCGTTTAAGGGACTTTCATTCCTTATTCTACAGCGACACGTGAGTTTAATTTGTTTGGGTCGTTTGTTGATAGTTTTTCTGTTGTGCTTTTTTATTATATGTGCCATGTTCTCGGTGCAATTGTAGCTGATTTTTTACGGTGTTTTTATTGAATATTTTGTGTAGAGTACTTGATTCCGAGAAGTGTTTGTTTAAGAGTTTGAAGAATATTTTACCTACGTTTGATTTTACGTTTTTGCTGTACGGTGGGTTGAACCATATGATATTTCTCTTCCTTTCTTGTGGTCTGTGGTGAGTATGTGAGTGTTGCCGGGAATCCACTATCTTTTAGGGCTGTTTCGTAGTCTGTTTCTTCATATTCAGCTCCTGATAAACAGTAGAGCACTTCCCCATAAATATAGCACACCTTAAAACTATATTTCTTCATATATATATATATATATATATATATATATATATATATATATATATATCCAAGTATAGGATTGGTGTATACGGAATAAATTCCAATAACCAACAAATACTATTCTTAAAAGAGTGCTCAATGCAGAGTAGAGCAAATATAATCATTTATTCGAAAATTATAACATAAATATGTCTATAAAATCAATACAAAAATAGTCATTTTGTTTAAACACTTCTGGTGTCTTATCAATGATGGTGTTGAATGTAGAATTCTATCACTTGATAAGACACCAGAAGTGTTGAAACAAAATGGCTATTTTTGTAGTGATTTTATAGCATTTTTATGTTATAATTTTCGAATAAATATATATATATATATATATATATAGTCATTCAAGCATCTTTCATTGAGTAATATATATATATTACGTCTACTTATTTTTATAATAATCATATCCAGTTCGTTTATTCGCTTTTCTTATCAATGGGACACACACACACACATATATATATATATATATATATATATATATATAGAGAGAGAGAGAGAGAGAGATTGAGAGAGAGACAAATATAAAACTATTTTATTGACATGAATACGCGTTTCAAAATCTTTAGATAGACTTCTTCAGATCAGAACGAAAGAAATATATGTATGTATGTGTGTATGTGTTTTTTTTTTGTTGTTGTTTTTTTTTTTTTTCTTATTTTGACGAAAAATTGTATTTACCTTAGATTAAATGCATAAGAGCTGGGCGAATAGTATAAACAAATTTTAACCAAACAAGAAAACTGAAAAGAAAAGAAAACAGTCTAAATTAAAATAAAGGCTTTTCTACAAAAGTTAGAAAATTCTGTTCTTTCATCACGGGCGAATGACGCCAGCTTATATATGACACCACTATTTTTACATTTTCATAGTCTTTTGGCCTCAGTTTGAAGGTTAACTATTTGCCCATAGCTGGGTCCCTAACAGGTGCTACCACCTCGGGTCAGGGTGAACCTGGGAACACCAGCAATTAAAAGGTGGTTCCATGCCTCTCAAAGCCTCCTGATCAAAGGCCTTGCTGTCGGATGTAGTTTATCGTCATACCCAGGACGCGGACGTAGTTTATCGTCTTACCCAAGACGGATTTCTGAAGGATATTGCTTTTAATGCGAACAGACTTTGTAAGTGCTCAATATTATTTCTTAAAGACGTTATAACATTATTCTATAAAAATTGTTTAATACACATAAACGAAAATTTTCATATTAGATTAAGTCGTACAATCTTCTTCACTGTGTCATGTCCCGTCAAGATGTAGGTGATCATGACTCTCCACAATTTCCTGCTCTTTGTAGCTTTTAATAAATTTTGTTTTTTCTTATTTTCCTAAAACTTGTTCCGTCATCCATTTACGGAGGCTCACTAATTAGTTTATGCATTTTTCCTCTGTCTCTTTTGTCTTCAGTCTGTCCTTTAAGCCTCATATTTTCCAAGCCCTCTTTTCTCATTATGCAACCTAGGAATTTTAACACTCTTTTCCTGGGGTTAAGAATAAGTTTCCTTTTTGTTTACATTTTCTCTAAAACTTCGTCGTTGCACACATGTTCGTTTCATGGTATCCTGAGCATTTTTCTGTGGAAGCACACTTTTGTTGCTTCAAGTCTATTCTTAATCTGTGAGAAGATTGTCTAACATTCCCTGCGATATAAATGAACTGATATTGCATAACAATTCAGTGCGCTGTTCTTTGTCTCTAACAAAAAAAGTAAGCTGTCATCAAAAA